CTTAACGATTACAAACGCTTGCAATTAACTCAAGTACTGTATTTACAGGCAGCATACAGCTCCGTGTTTCTGTTGCCCCGATCCATGGCCATAACATGCTATATCATAATTTACAACTTTGACGTTTCTGCCGGCGTCTGCTGGAGTCGGCGGCAGAGTCAGGCTTCAGCGCACGCGTTCACCGCAATTCTGTTTTCGATTATGCGGCTCATGGCTCCCGGCAGTCGTAAGACTTCATCTCTAACTCCTAGTCCTGCTCTATCTCCCCTGCCCGATCCTCCTGCAACTCCAACTCCATCTCCGGCCTTGATGGCTTGCCCCTGGCGGCGTTTTGTATCTTGCGCTTGCATCTTGTATCTGCCACGACCACATGGGGCGGCTGCAACAAAATTTGTTAGCCTGTCATAAACTGCGCCAAATCGCATAAATTATGAACCGCCATGGACCGTTTATCGATATGCAAAAAAAAAAAACACAGTATCGAAATTTTTATCGTCTTGCGCCCAGCGAAAGTGTCGATGGGATGCCTTTGCCTGAGAACCATTTCGTATGCCTTCTGGCTAAGCAATTTCTTTTAATTGATTTTCAACAGCCGTGTGAGTCTGTCTACCCCACTCGCAACCTCTTGTCTAGACTCTCAACGTCATCGACAGAGCCAACGCCAACGCATGAGATGCGGCCTGCCCGGTTGACAGGTGTTGATTGAAATGACCCGAAAAAAGAAATAAACCTAACAAGCAGGAGGCAAAAATACAATGCGTTGAGGATGGAGACATGCGTCTCACACTTTTGCCATGTTTATAAACAGCTGGGGAAAACATTGCGAGAAAAAAGAACTCAATCAACTTGATGGGTAAACGAAAATATCAAATAAGAAGGGAAAGGGAAGAACTCTTTAAAATAAATCTTGAAGGGGCACCTTCCGATAGTCAACAAAAAAAAAGTCTGAGAAGGGAGTAAGCTCGAGGAATGGCCAACTTTCTGTCGTACTCGTAAACCCAAATGGGACAAGTAAAAGCTAGAAAAAACCACAAGGAAAGCACCAACAGACCGCTAACATTGTCAATGCTATCTTCCCCGTCAACTATATTAACAGAACAAGAGGAATATGTTTATAAATGTAACGACTCTGACGCACTCGCACACATTGACAGATCCAGCGATTAGATAAGTCACGCACTCATACATACTTACACACATTTATGCACTTGAGAGTCATTACAGCGCATGTCAAACTGCATGTCATGCAAGTCTCTGGGTGTACGACACTTTAGATCTATTTGCCGAGCGAGACTCATCAGACACATCAGCTAAGAGGGCAGAGGCAAGGGCAATCAATGAACCCTAGAAATAAAAGAACCAAATGCATTGTGGAGTAGAAAGATCAGCAGAAATAAGAATACGAGTCATGGAAGTTCTGTCAATTGTTCCACACATCATCATCATATGAGCTGCTGCTGTAACGCAGATGCCTTTTCTATTCTATAATCAAATTGTTTATTCAAATTGTAAGCGTAATTAAATGTTTATGTCGTTGAGAACAATCATCAATTGATTATTATTTACACAATTGCTGGCATACGGGGTAGGCAATCGATGTCAGGCTGCCTATCAGGCAGGGTCGGTGCGTCGGTCGGTCGTCTATTGAACTCCGAGTGCCAGTCCATGCAATGATAATTTTATTTCATAATTAGTATTTCCCCTGAGCATTGATTTTGTAATTTATGCTAATTCCTACAACTTTTTTCTATGGAATTGAATATTGTATTAGTTGTTGTGTCAGTAATGAGCGGAACACTAACAAAATTTCATGCTCTATGAGTGGACTCGAGAATTTCTACAAAACTGTCACGGATCGTAGGGGCAGCGGCATCTTCGGGGGCTTCTCTAACAACGTTATGTGAGCCGGTTTCGGTTTCTGGCAAACTCTATTATTTGTTCGCCATTCATAAACAAGTTTTCTGTTTGAGCCAGCGGTTGAAGCCCCAGTGAGTGGTCTTCGCGGCTTTTAATTAAGCGTTAGTGGATTCTCTCATTGCTCAAATGTCGAAATAAATTGCTGCAATTATTTATGCGTCACACCCAATAGATTTCTACTTGCCGGAGGGTCTAAACAGCCCACGCTTCCACTCTCAATGGAATCTATCAGCTAATGCTATATTGATGGGATCTCTAACGAGTGATGTTATTCTCTCTCTGCCAACGAAGGGCTTGGGCTGCCCAACTCGAAACTAGCATTCATTGTGCAACTTGAAGTTTGTGCTGCTTAATGGCTGACATGTCACAGAGTTGTCTTTCTCAGTTGCTCAGCTATAATATTTTCCCAGTCAGCTTCTGTGTAACCTAATGATGCCATCGCTGGAAGATCAAACGCAAGACAGGCTGGCAGTATGGCAGGCGACACTGCGGCAACACCTTTCGAACTTCATCAATCATTGCAAATGCTTCCGCTGCCAGAACCTTAACTCCAGCCACTACTCCCACCAACAAAGTATAGACACAAAGATATGTACAAGTTGGTTTTTTCGCTTATCGGGCATGTGTGGAATCGGGTTTGTTTGGGTGTTGTAGCGAACTCGTTACGATACTCGGCACGAACTGGTTTTCGGGGCTGGCTGTCCGCTAAGCAGTCACTTACTTATATTTATTAATTATCGTATCGATAGCTCTCGCACCCGAGCTCGAGCTTAGCCGCCCCCTTCCCCCCTGGGCCACAACCGAACCCTTTTTAGCTGAACAGCTGAAATCCACTTGGCATTGTGCTTTTTGGGTTTCGTATTGGGGGTTCGCTGGGGTTCTGTGATTGCCAGTGTGCCGCTCTTTTATGGTCGACAACCAAAACAAACACAAAAGATACGGCACACACAACACAGATGCATGCAGTGAGAGACCTACACAAACACACGGACAGACTGGCGTTACAGAGCATAAAGTTCAGGCGGGCAACGGCAGCGGGCAACACTCGTGAAGTTTTTCTGCCGGCGCATTCAGTTCGATTCGAGCGATTTTCGAGCGCGGAGCGCACCAACTCGCACAGAAACAAAACACAACAACAACAACAAAAAGAGAAAAAGAAAAAGAAGAAATCTGTAAAGCAACTAAAAATTACCAGCTCTGAGTCAGCCAAAAACTAAACTAAACTAAACGCTGCAGCAGCGGTGTACAAAGTTATCCGCCAAGTGTGTGCCGTGTGTGTCGTGTGTGTCGTGTGTGTCGTTTTTTGTCGCCTTCGAAGTTCATTAATTTCGGCATAGAATTTCCATTAGCTAAAAATAGCTAGCGCCTAGCCAAATGCTAATTAAATGCCAGCCCAGAAAGCCAGCCGATAAATACCATTAGGATATTACGTATTCCCCGGCGTTATGATTCTCTCCAGCCAGCCGCAGTACAATGAGTCAGAGTTTGCCGAAAAGATAAGACACCTGACGCCCACCGAGCAGGAAGCAGTCAAGCGCTTCTGGAGGTAATGATAATGCGGCCAGATCCGCACAGATATCGGTAGAGCTCCAAAAAAGGGGAAGCAACTCACACGCAGTGTCTCGAAAAAGGTTTAACGATTATGGTTTCAGCTGGGCGTGATCTTTGGTGCGAGTTATGGAAATGCTTACAAAATATTAGAGACAAATGTGTTTAAATTCATTCCGAAATAAGACATGGAACTTTTTTTATTCGGCTGCCAACCGCACAACTTTGTCTGCAACACATAACCGAAGCCAATTATCATAATTTCTAATTATGACAACGCACCACGCTCCAACCAGGAACAGTCACAACAAATTGTGGCTAGACAGCAGCAGCAGCACCAGAACATGTCCAGGGACTAGAAATACTACAACCCAACAAGATGGGTGTATCATAATCATAAACACGCATATTAATTTGGTCTCTGCAATCCTAAAATACGCGATGCCGCAACGCGTTCCACATGAATGCAACAGGGCAAATGGTATGGGAATGGGGGGTGCTGGGTCCATGTCAGGCCTTTTTCATTCATGCAACAACATAAAGTTTGCCGCATAAATCAGTTGACGCATAAATTTTCATTTTACATAAATTTTCAAATCGGCCAAAAAGATGGAAACATGAAAAATGACTCAACAAAACTATGGCAGCAAATTGCAAGACGGCTTTCCATTCCACTCGATATTCTTTATATAAAATGAGGTATAGATCCTTAGATCCGTACATGCATTGTATGGTTGCAGTATTATTTATAACATGACAGGCAATTAATTGAATATTACACGTGCATTACAGGCAAAACATTGCCATTCTCCTAATTTGGCTAATTGCATTAGGACTTCTTTTTGGTTTGGAACCCCCTTTCATGGGGAACCCAAAACAAATTATAAATAATTGCAGTTTCCGTTTCCAACAAAGTGGAAACATGAAAAATGCAGCACGCATGTTACATTTTCCAGGAATGAAGAAGGAGAAGCAAAGTTAACTAATGAGTTCTGTGGATGGGAGGGGATGGGATGGGTTACCACACTGTGGAGTCTCCTCTCCTTCGATGGAATGGCAAACAGATTATTGTGGATTTTGTGGCGCGCGCATATTTCCAAAGATGTTTCCAAATACCGAACAAAGGGGGCGACAACAAGAACTCAAAATGCTGACAGCTTGATATATTTTATTATAATTTCCTTCCTAAGGCAAGTGTGGCTCCTGTGTCCCATCCATCTCATCCACTCGGCTATTTGTGTCTATATCTGTGGTATCTCCCTGCATTTGCCACATTCTATGTGTCGTGTGCATGTGTGTGAGTGTGTTGCACTGAATTATTTTTAAATGTGATAGCAAAGAGAAATACTGACAATTGTCTAGGCCAAAGCCCTGGGACACGCCCGCGGGCGACTTTACCCATCGCTGTCTATTTACTTTGCTATAAGCTCTGGAAACTTCATGTGTGTTTTCTTTCACGCGTAATATTACTATTTGTTTTTACATTTGCCAATTTGCTAACAAGAATTTCTTTTGTCCGACTTGTGTCTTTCCAGGTCGCTGGTTTTGCGAAGTCAACGCGCCTTCATTGAGGAAAATGGTAAGTTAAGACCCGGCGTGGGCCCCTAGAAACGTGTCTCAGACCCCCACATGGCTGGCTGGCATTCTGCAACGGATGTGGGTCAACGTGACGCCCTCACAAAGCCGCCAGTCCGGGCCAGGCCAACACCCACAATTGTGCGCTGTGTGTGTGTTGCAGCAGATACAGTGTTAACGATACACTTAACTTGGCCGAAATGGCAAATTTGTCACTGCACCACTCGGACTGGGCGAAGCAACGCACTTTTCCAGACCGTCCAGACCCACGCAAGCGGTTAACAAAATATCTTTCGACTCCTTTATGGAAATCACTTTTGGCAAGACCCACGCTCCCCCCCACGAACCGATCGATCGATCCTCCTCCTCCTGCCGATGCAGCCTCAACTATGCGAGTTTTAATTAAGCCCAAAGCCAAGAGGCAAGACTCGAAACTGGTTTCGGGCTTAAACTGAAATATTTACCGCGATATCAAATAATTTTTGGTATCATTCACGTTTTGGCACTTTATGACAGGCGGATGTGAGGTGACAGCTTGGCTGTGGGCGTGGCACATCACGATAGCCCATGTTTCATTCGCTCATTCGGCGCTGGCATTAATTGCGGCAATTAAAATGGGAAATGTAAATGTCACCTGGTGCGCCGAAATCCACTCATTAGCCACACACGAAGTGCCCAGCCACTTCTAAGATCAGCAAACGGGAAACTTTATGGCACGTTTTTAAAATCATAAAAACTAAAAACACAGCCCCGAAACTACCGCTACAATGGCCACAGGAGGCACTTGAGTAGGCCCAACATTAATTGGATAATTAAAAATTAAGAAATTGTAGCGGCAGCGATGCGGCTGGGGAGCACTTTCCAAAGAAGAACTTAATGATTAAAAAAGAAAATAAAACAAAGTAATGGAGAAAAACTTTTGCTCCACATAAATTTGACTCTAAATTGATAAATATTGAATTACAGACCAAGTTAGATTTTACTTTTAGAGTAGCGTATCAAGAGTATCGATGATATTGGGCGTTTCTTGCTTAAGTCTCTGCCAATATGAATATAGATATAGCCATTATGCATTTATTTTCCAATATGTCTGGCTGTGTTTTTGGGGTTCGGTCATGCAATTAGATTGAAACAAGCGTTGCGCGTGTTTTGCATAATTAAATTTTTGCGCCTTACGGTAATTTGTGGGGCTGCTGCAAGTCTGGAACCGTTAGCTTCATTAGCCCGTTGCAGCTGCGACTGCCACTGCAACTGAAACTTGCACTGACACCGCCGCCTACCTCAGCCCCAAGCACCAGGCACCAGGCACCAGGCCCCATATGAGCAAATTGTAAACATGTCAGTCCGACAACCAGTTTGGTTTCGGTGTTTACATACCCTTTGACCCAGAGGGTATGCCTGTTTGGGACAAAAGTTTGCGAACCTGCAGCGAATCGGAGTAGCGATCTGAAATGGGAATTAGGAACACTTTTGAGCACAAAGGAATATCCCGAAAAGGTTGCGACAACCTAAAATCAAAAGATTAGATTCATAGTACACATTTAAAGCATTTTTGACAGTGTATTCCCACTGCTGTTGATCTGTTTATCTCTGTTGTGTGAGCTTTTTACGAATTTCATTCACAAGTCGAGCTCATTTTGTATGCCGGGCAGCATCTGTGCATCATTCAGCAGCACGCCTACGCGTAAACATAGTCATTACAGAAGAGACCGATCCGCATGAGAGCGGATCATGATAATGATGATTGGAACGGGGACAGCGCCTGCAACTGGGACTGGGACTGGCACTGGAACATTGAGACATGGAGACCCCAACATCGGCTACGTGTAGCGCCTGAGCATGATCGTAATTCGAGTGCTTGGCTAATTTGTTAATTTATATGTGTGTCGGGTGCCGGAATACGATTTATGTTGGCGCCCTTACATGGACAGCGATTGTGCTGCGAAATGAAGTTGTTAACATTCACTTTAAATGATTGCGGATCGAGTTCAAAGACTTGCAAGTTGCAATTAAACGACAATGTGAAAGTTAAGCTTTACATTAGACCAAGTACAAATGTTTTGGTTACTCTGCATATGGCGCACATTAGGCAAACTGCATTCTCGGCACGCCCACCCAATCCAAAAATCTCATTGGATGCCAAATAAAACAGCAACTGATTGAGTGATTGAGTGGGTGGATGTGCCTCAATCGTTGATAATTAAGCTTTGGCCATGGCCCTGTAGCCGGCTGCTAATTACGGCTGCCGAAGCTCATCAATATGCGGCACCACTTAACATCATGTGGTGCAGCAGCCTCAACACTTTCACAAGACACGCCCCACACACCCACACGGAGCTACAGCTGCTGTCCATCGTCCCACACCCCGTCCACTGGTTTTCTGTTTGTGAATGAAAAGTGAAAAGTGGCAGCGAGATTCTCCATTCGATCGGAACTATTTTGTTGTTCGCCAAGAGATGGCGCTGCGCAAAGCTGCGGAGTCGGGGGCGCTCTCTCCGACCTGATAAGCAAATGCTAAATGGCCGCGTATCTTATCGGGTCTAATTTGCTGCACGGTGAGAATATGACACCATCTAAACGTCCAGTTGGGTGTGGACGTGCAGTGGGAGTAGTACGTAGTAGTAGCCCCTAAGACTATCCCCCAGCCGCACTATCGTGGGTTGGTCTGAATCGGAATTCGAGTCGGAGGTCAGCCGTTGTGCTGCAAGAATTTCAAATGTTTTAAGTGCAAACTCGAGTAACAATTTAAATGTGGTGGAACCTATTCTGGTGTGGGGTCTTGTGGCTGTGGTATGAGGGTAAAAGGCCCCAGTCTCAGCCACAGGCGGACGCGTTTGTTGACCAAGAAAGTGAGTGAAAAGTGGTAAATAGACCTTGTAGATAAAATTATATAAATACATAGCGAAACAGAGTGCTTCCACGTATTTGTAAGACATAAATCCCAGCTGTTTTGAATCATTTAATTAAGGATATAAAAGTATCTGTTGATTGCATCTAAATTGCTTCCACCCTGTAATTTCTCCTTGATCTTGTGCTCGATGCAATCATCAAATGTTTGAATCATTATTTAATTATCATTTTCCTTGATTGCAAAATTGTTTAAATCAATGCCAGAGTAGTGTGCTCTCCGTGCTGCATAAGCCATTAAAAGTGATTCAGCTGGCCAAATGTCGTTTATCTAAATGAACCAAAATTAGTTATTATATGCCGCAATTAAACATAAATAAGGCACGCATTTATCTTACGGATACACAGACACAGACGACTGCGTTCCAAGAAGAGCGATGAGCGCCTTTGTGGATGCTCTGAGATTACCAAAGCCAAAGCCGAAACTTGTTTGTGGTGCGCAGGTGTGGCTCTGTTTGTTTGAATGTATCGACTGCTGGCTTGACCTTGATAGTGACATTTGGATACATCTTGGATACAATATTCTCATCTCTCTCTATCTCTCTCTCTCTCTTTCGTACAGCTCGTCAAGTGCCTGGTGGCAGCACCAACAGTTCCGCCTCCAGTCCGGAGTCGTCTGGTATGAACCGATCGGTGCGCAGCTGCAACTGCTGTCCCTATGGCTATCACATTGACCTGGACTTTGTGCGCTACTGCGAGGCGCTGGCCCAGGCCAAGCCCAGCGAGGAGGAGCAGCGGCGTAGGGATCGACGTCGCTCGCGCAAGTCCATGGAGGTTATGCTCGGCTTCGAGAGCCTCTTTGGCGGCGACTGGCAGGCGGAGACGAGAGTGCAGGGCCGACTAGCAGAGGTGAGTGCCGGCTACCGGGTGGCCCAGTGGCCGCTTTGATCTTGTCCAGCTTCACACTCAATTAACTTGTCACCTTTCCCTGTTCCGCTTGCAGGCCGCACATGAAAGCGAACCAGATTCTCCACGCGGAGTCGGTGGAGCAGCAGGTCTGTCGCAGTCCTATACCACAACTCCGTGCTATCGGCCGCGTTCATCGTCTGTGCCACGCTTCACTTACGGCAGCATCCCGCCGAGAGCCGAGTCACCATTTGGCACTGCCTCCTCCACGTGCTCCTCGCTGCGCGGCGGCGTCGAGAGTGACGCGGGGATCTATCAACAGCGCCATCAGAGCTATGGCCGACCGGCGATCAGTCCGCCAGAGACGCGGGCCTTCCTCCACGACGCCCTGGACGAGGTCTGCAGCGATTTTGAGCGCACACTCGAACGGACATCGGTGAAGCGTCGCAAAGGGGGTGCCCCCTATGCGGGCGGCTCCCTCTCCATGGATCGGAACAACAATAAGTTGATGCTGAATCTCAGTGGCTATGGCCAGAAGGAGCGCAATCAGCGCCTGGGCAACAGCACGTGGGATCGCTACTTTGATGTGGCAGGTGAGTAGCCCCCAGCAAGAACTCAATTTAGCAGCTTCTCAGGCTGATCTCTCCCATTCCGACACGCTGACGATGATGATTCATAGAACAGCGAGCAGAGATGCCTCGTACTGTTGCTCTTTCAGATACTTTTGCTTTCTTTTCTTGACGCAATTAGCGCTGCTCTGCTGCGGCACATGTGACATTTCTACGCACGAAAGTGTGAAAAATTTCGCACAACTGTTGGAGGGGGCAGGCAAATGCTGTACAGTGGAATGAAGAGTGAAAGCCAGCAGCTAGTTTGAACGGATAGATATTAGGGAAGTCTTTCATTTATTTGTTTTTCAGTTATTACTCACTATAAATCTCCTAAGAATATGTTCCATATATGGCCATTGTTGGCATGGAGTAGTCACCTCCGCGGCTGTGTTTGATCAAAGAATATTTCAATTTCCGTAGACTCGGACTTTGAAATCACAAAAATTATTACATAAAATTCAGTTAGAGTTGCAGCTCAGACACAGATATACATACTCGTAGATGCAAATGCAGATGGCAGATGCAAATGCAGATACAGAAACAGTAACAGTCGCTTTTCATCTTTGGCATTTTGAGACTCAATTGCAAGGTACGGCATGGGGCATGTGGCGTGTGGCAACTTCAAGGCAATTTTTGAGGCGTTCGTATCTTAAATCAATTTGAAATGCGCATTTGGCGCTCAATTTGCATGCAAATGTCTCTGGCTCCGTCTCGATTTTCTTGTATTTTTTCATGCCATAAATTTTGCGATAGAGTGTGCAAGAAACGAATCAATGCGAATAAACAAATCAAATTGTCGCGTTTTAGTTTGTTTTTTTCTTGCGCTGTTGTAGTTCGAGAGTGCCAGAGGACCTGGAGCAAACAGTTGTCATTGATTAATGGCCAAATGGCCACAGAGCCTAGGTAATTGCCGGAGTATGTTTGTGCCTTTAATAAATGGCTTTCAAATTGAAATAAACATGGCCAAAAAGTACTACAAAAAATAGATTTCTTGTTGCCAAAATGTTTGCCAGTAAAAATGTCCGACAACAACAAAAAATGCGTGTTAAATTCCCCAGCCTAAAAAGGCAGCGGCATTTGGCAGCCTTGTGAGATCGGAACTGCGGGACCCAGCCCATTGCCAACCCCAAAAAGTACTAGGAAGACATATATCATAAGATAAAAACTGTCTGGAATCATAATTAGTATAAGGTATATGCTGGCTATTAATAGGAATACCAATTGGTTGGGGGGGTTTTGAAAATCAATCAGATTTCAAATTCGCCATAATTAATTGCAAGACAGATAAGATATGAAATAAACGTATTCCCCATTGAATAGCAATAGAAACCATATGCCATATGCATGTGTTTTGATGATGATTTATTCAACATTAATCATGAATCAATAGATCTATGATCTTCCCGGCCTTGACTCAGAGACACAGCGTTGGCATCAAAGCCAGGCCAGGCACTGAATGCAAATTGATATGCAAATGGACAATCAAAAATCAATATTATTTGACTATGAAGAAACAAAAACAAACAAAGCAGCGAACGTCTCTTTGAATACCCTGGAATACCATGGGGTATATGTAATAAAGATAAGAGTGCTGTCAGACTCCAAGGGTATTCCTGATTCGATATGCTCATCTAGCATTTTGTGCGAGCATTACCACACGTCACTGCCATAATCGTTATCAGCTTGTGCTGTTAATTGTGCTTTTAGCTTATCAGCCACAACAACAATAAGACAAACTGTTGCCCATGTTCTTTTTGTTGCTCTCCGCCTTTTATTTTGATTATTTAATTTTGTATTTGCCGAGCGCAAAACCTTATCGGCGGCCTGTCTCTACGCTCTCGCGCGCTCTTTCAGCAAATTGGTTTCTATTTTATATTGTTGTTAGTACGGACATAACATTAGTTTTTCACAAGAGTTGTGTTAAATAATGACCCAGAAATCTCTGCTGGCAAATGGTTGTTTTGTCGCTCTTGTTTGCCCGATGGTCGAATGTGTGAGCAAAAAAATCTGACAGCAGTTGGTCGACGACTTTCGAACGAATAGCATAAAAAATGTGTCTGTCTAGCCGCGAAATAAAAAACAACAATTGTTTGAAATGATTGTTACGGATCAACTAAATAAAACGAGTGCAACTACACATAATAAAAATACGTTTGAAGTGTAATTTAAAATTTATGCGAAATACATGATAAAATGTAACTACAATTCGACAGCAGCGAAAACGACAGAAGATTTTGAAATTAATTATAACGAAAAGCATAAATCACATTGATAAATACGCCAGTATATGTTGAATTAAATGGTTAACCCCATTTTCGATATAATGCTAACGATTCTTAGAAAAATCAAACACGAACTAGTGCACAGTGAGTGTGGTTGAGGGAGCCGCGCTTGTTTTTGTGGCCGCCACTGTACGGCATGTACAGCAGATAGCATGTGATGAGCTTTTCGCTTTGATCTGTCTACGCTTGCCCCGATCCCGATATCTGGCAAATCAAATAATATAATATTGTCTCTAACACAGCGCTTTAATTAACGGCAACGGAGATTAAAAATAACACACACAAAAAACAGTCTTTAATTAACAAAAACTTTTCGCGGACAGACGGGCCCAAGTGCAATGTCTGCTGCCTTGGCCCATATGCCGCATGGTGTGCTAGCAAGCTAAGCTGAAGAATAGCAAATCAATAAAATGTATGCCACAGCCGATGATGCCCTGCCACAGAGACGCCGGCGGCAGGGCCAGAGGAACACCAAACACAAGACGGAACCAAAGACCAGGCCGGACAAGAGCTGGTGGAGTGACTGTAGGTTCATTAGCGGAAAGAGCTGACCCTTTGGGTTGTGCTCCTCACATTTCGGACTCCATTTAGTCCAATTTGTATGGGCCATAAAAACTGATTAATTATGCTGCCGGTCAATGCTACCAAGCGTCACGCGTGTATGCCACCCCTCTGGCTCCCACCTCATTTCGCCTTGACCAAAGTCGTTCTGCCCATTTGGCACCGAGCGAACAGAAAATAGAATTCTCTTAGCCTAAAAGTTCACTGCACAGCCGACAGCATATACAAAATTAAGTAATAGCAACAAAGTGGGCGAAAAGCAACACAAGCAGAGGGGGGCAGGGAAATACTTGGCAAGGCTGACAGCCCGAGATGAGTAACAACTTGTTGTGGCAGCGGGCGCACAGTGCGTATGAGGGAAACTGAGGGAAAAATACATCCATATTTTGAAGATTGTCTAAGAAATGTGTGCTAATAGATTGGGCATACTTGTCTCGTAGAATCTTTGCAAATATTCAGCAATGATAAGTACAACTGTGGCAGCCTTGTCTCTTGTGCAAATACTCGGTTGAGTTTTTCTGTGATATTATGGCGATAAGTAGCAATTACATAAATGCATAGATAGACTGACATCAGCTCGACTCAAAGATAGCCTCATCTAACTAAGCAAGCCTCTTCAGATCATTCATATATTGATGTCACTTTTTCTCTCAGTAATAGCTCATATTAGCCTTTAAATCTATCACCTAAGATCTTGGAGACCCAGTTGCTCTCACAGACAATACACCCTTCTACCTGAGGAGTACCGGGTATAAAAACTAATATTGAATAATGCCTGCTTTGCTTACCCTTCTTATCACGGCGCATTTGTTCGCTCTCTCACAGCGAAAAAAGCCATCAAAATGTTCGTCGAGTCATTTTGGGCTTTTGTTCATTGTCTTTGCTTTGCTTTTGCATTGTGTTGTCTGTGAAAATTATGCGAACTTTGGCACAATTATTAAAATTAGATTTGTAGAGCAAAATGTATTTTATCAGCACGAGCTTTTTGCATTGTTATTTCGCGAGCCGTGGGCGTAACGCCCAGTCCAGTCGCCAACGGGCAGTGCTCATGGCAACTTTACAAATCAAAATCGTGTTGACCAGGGCAAATGGCAGACCAAGTAATCAGCGCAGCCTGCATTCAGTATCAACTGTGATTTATCCTCGTTTTTGTGCACTCCACAGACTCCTGCATAGCGGGAAATCGATCACCAACGAGCACGCCGCACCTCTTCCTGCGCTCCAATACGCTTCCTCTGCAGCAGCGGCCCAGCCCCGCCGAGGTGCAGTATGAGAGCTATGTGCAGGCCACGGTGGCGGCCAATGCCAAGTCGCCAGTGGAGCAACTGGAATCGCCGAAGACTATGCCAGGCACTGCACCGCCGCCTCCACCACGTCGGCATCATCTGCTGGCAACTCCCAAGGAAGGCGAGAAGGAGAATGGCACCATGAGCAGCTCCATGCAGTCGCCAGTGAATTCGGAAACGGGTCAGACGACGGCGGAAGCCCAGGCACTGTTCCAGATCCGCGAACAGATGGCCATGAGCCTGAAGCGCCTGAAGGATCTGGAGGAGCAGGTCAAGGTCATACCCGACATGGAGGTGAGTACCCAGCTCCATTTCCATGTATATTCCTGAGCTCACATCAACGACTCCCTATCTTAGTTGGAACTCAATTCATTGCGGTCGGAGAAGCAGCGTCTGCTGCGCAAGAACGAGGAGCTGGTGCGGGGACAAAGACAGACACCATCACCTCCCAGTCCGGGCCTAAAGAACGCCTCACCCGTGCAGTTCACGCCACAGCGCATAAGTCCCGTCTCGCTGGAGAGCCTGGGGGCACGCATGCGCAGCAGTTCGACCTCGGCGTCGCCTTCGCCCAGCGTCATTCGTCGCGATGTATCCACCCAGGCAGCCAGCCGGGTCACAGCCACCCGAGACGTGGCCGTTGGCTCCACGCTGAGCACCCGTCACGTGGCCACTCAAGAGGCGGCGGCCATTTACTCACAAGCAGAGCTGGAGCAGAAAATCGGTTTGGCCCTGAGCAGCCACCAGCAGCAGCAGCTGAAGAAGCTCATCACAGTGGGCACACAGATGTACGTGCCGAAGCGGGAGCAGCGGGACTCGGGCATGCAGACGCTGGCGGAGCGACCGAAGCTCAAGTACAATGTGGGAGTCAGTGCCAAGCCCGCGACGAGGGAGAACTTCACCAGTTGCAAGCCAGATCTGCGCACTGTGGGCAGCTCCGAGCACCGCATCGACGAAGAGCTATGCGAGAAGTGTGCCATCAGCAAGCGATCAGTGGGCTGCGGTCCGGAAGTGCCCACGACGGAGAAGCCAGCGAAGTCAGCGCCACAGATGCTGGGACGCAGCAACACCTTCAGCCTCGGAGAGAACGAATCGCTAAGCCTCATCCGCAAGGCAGTGGGCTGTCAGACGCCAATTACGATGGTGCACAGTGCTGCGAGTCAGACTGCGATGAAGACGGTTCGCTCAACCGGAGCTCAGGTGACGCCGCAGCAGCAGCACGCGGTGGTGCAGTGTGGGGCAGAGCAGAGCAATCGGCAAACCGATACCGACGGCCTGCAGCGCCTCTCGCGTAGCGCCACAAAGACGGAACAAGTGGCCGAGTCTGTGCAACGACCTCGAACACGTCACACAGCCTGCAACACGGATCAGCCGGAGCAAAAACAGTTGCCGGAACCGATCAAGGCACCCGCCACCACCCACTCTGCCTGCAACACGGATGAAATTCGCAAACGGGATGTGGGCTGCGGCGAGATTGTCAAGCCACACATCTCGATTGCCTGTGCGGCCAACTACTGTGATTCCTGCAAGGAGGCCATCCAGGACCTGGCCAAGGGCTTCTCCAAGGTCAGCCCAGCCACATCACCCGCACCGTCCAAGCCGGGAATAGTGCGTCGCTCCACGTCGGCGGACTCGCGCATACCGCGACCCAAACACATCACTAGTCCCAGTCCGGTGCGCAGGGAGCTCAAACGGCAGAATACCTACACACTGGCGACGCCCACAAAAACGCCCGAAAGTCCCAAGGCAGAGCGGAAAACGCGACTGAGGTGAGTTCTCGTGCTTGAAGTTTCTCTTTTCAGTCGGCTGCGACTCACCGTAAAAGCTTGCGTGGCAAAGCTTTACATCGCGAGCTTTTATCTGAGACACTCACTCACTCGCTTGCAAGCTTTTGGATGTCGCAACGCTCTGTGAGAGACGAACCCAAATGTAAACAAAAATTTGACTTGCGCATTGTTTGGTTTGTGGTTACCTGGAACGGGGAATGGGGAAAATCTCCGTTGGATGACCTTCAGTCAGGCTTTAGTTTTTGCTTTGGCACATTCGTGCCATTCGCTTCTGTTATCGCTTATTTTGGTTTTTTGTTTGGGTTTTGATTTTCGCATTTTGACAATGTTCTCCAGCCTGAGCAGTTTTACGTGCTACCCGCTGCTGGTCAGCGGTTGCTCGGCATTGCTGCTAACGTGGGTTGCTCCCACTCTGATTCTCAAGCGCTTAATAACGAAATTGTTTTATTACAGCTCCCTGCAGGAGAAGCCACCGAATGTGTCGAGTTTCCAGTCTTCCGATTCGTCGGGGGAGTCACAAAGTTTTATCAGACAACCGTCCAGCAAACAGAACCTTTCATTGGACCTCAGCCAGGTGGGTGACGATGAACTGATTGTACGGGAGGAGAAGCGTGTGAGCATCAGCTGGTCACGCGATGCCTCCCCCGCACCACTCATGACCTCCTCGGCCACAACATCGGGCACAACAAAGTCGGCCTCACCGGAGCAGGAACAGGAGCAAGCCATGAGCATATCCAGTGACTCCTCACCGCCCTTGGATGTTCAGATTGCTCAGGGAGCACGCAAAAAGTCGAGCACACCGCTAAAATCTAGTCAAAGCGAGGACTCCCAGGTGACTGTCATCGAGCGACCGGCCACAAAGGCGCAGCTTCATCAGCTGGCCCAGGCGGAGGCCGAGCCGCGCAAGAAGTGAGTTCGAAGAACACTCCTTTTTCGATTGAGATTATTAAACTGTTCCATTTCCAGAACCGAGATACCCAAGAGCCTGGCGGATGCACTCAAAGTCATCAATGATTCACTGCTAAAGAGGATGGTGGCCAAGCCTATCTCCTCGCAGAGCCTCAAGCTATCAAAGACGACAATTCAGGAGCATTGGTTCCGAAACTCTAGCACTGGCAAGGCTGATCCTCACGAGGTGGAGGACCACTTGGACTACTTTGAGTCTCTCTCAGTGCCCCTGCTGGAATATTGCGTAAACCTCTCCGACAACAATGTAAGTTCTGTGCTGTAATCTATGTTTAAGAGTCGAATATTTATGTATGTCTCCTTTCGATATTATAGGGCAACACAGCCATGCATTATGCGGTCTCGCACGGCAACTTTGACGTGGTATCCATTCTGCTGGATTCGAAGGTTTGCAATGTAAACCAAACGAATAACGCCGGATACACGTGCGTGATGCTCGTATCGTTGGCCAAGTTAAAGCAACCGTCCCATCGGACAGTCGTGGAGCGACTGTTCAAGATGGCCGATGTCAACATACGCGCCAAGAAGGTAGGTAAGGGGCCGCCAAAACCCCGCAGATCCCATCTCCAGACATCTGATCGTTGTTCCCCTACTAACCGAACCCCGTCCGCCGTCTGATTGCAGCACTGCCAAACCGCACTAATGCTCGCTGTGTCGCATGGTAATGGCGACATGGTCGCCATGCTGCTGGAAGCCGGAGCAGATATCAACATTCAGGACGAGGATGGCAGCACGGCTCTAATGTGCGCCGCCGAGCACGGGCGTGTGGATGTGGTCAAGCATTTGCTGTCCAGTCCAGACTGCGACTCCCTCATACAAGATGTGGTAAGTAACATAACTCAACACATTATTTAAACTATTTACTAATTATAGACCTTTTCATAGGATGGCAGCACGGCCTTTAAGATTGCCTGGCAGGCCGGACATCGGGATGTGGGCCTGCTCCTCTATGTCCACGAGCAGATGCTACGCAGCAAGCTGCCCAATCGTGGGGAGACCGCCCGGAATTCGCTCCTCACCATGGCGCTGCACAGCCGCCAGTCACCGGAGTAAAGCCATCTTGTATTAGCGGCCAAATTGTCGAACAAACCAGTTAGTTTATAGCGTTTTAATTAGCATTTTGTAGAGCGGCCCGGACAAAACGTAGAAGTGGCAAAGCAAATTACATTCCATATCGAAACTTACAGCAAACGGAAATGAAACTTAACTTAGACTTATAATTAGGCTTTAGTTTCGCGTATTTATTATTAATTGGTATTTTAGTGCTAACACGTAAAACGGACTCTAGCCGTAACTCTAATTTCGATTAACCAACGAAAGCAGCCAGCTATTTTTAAACAATGTCTTTTATCTACGCTAATAAGCTCAACTCTGCACAGGCCTTGTGGGTCAGGCCACACCACAAAAACCAACCAACCATATCAGCAAACGACAATGCAACAAAACGATATTTAACTAACAATAATTGCGAGTAACTACGAATCAAATGGACAAATATGTTAATAAATCAATTATACTTCTACCAAGTACTACTACTGTAAGACGGCAAAGTTACGTATTTTAAAGCAAACTATTTGCTCTTTCGAAAATAAATAAATGAATTACATAAAACAATGCACAGACGAGTATATTAAGTAAGAATGCCATTTTTTTTGTCTCTCTAGTCCTTCCACATTTTATGCCTAGATATTTTTCGTTTGAAATTGCTTTCTATACTTTGTTCATGTTCGATATTCTGTATCCCTACTCTCTAAATGTACAACTAAATTCCCTCAGATAGCCCTCTCTTCGTTGCCTGGCTCGATGATCCCCAATGGTGTCAGCTGCAGGGCAATGCCATCCTCCAGGCTGACCAGCGGCCTTCTCGAGTTTAGCGTAAATTCGTACTCCGTGAGCAGCAGGGCGAGAGCCAGGCGCAGCTGCAGCTGGGCAAACTGTATGCCAATGCAGCAGCGGGCGCCCACGCCAAAGCCGAACCAGGTGCCCTGCTCCTGCAGCGAGTCCCTTGGGCCACCCCATCGATCCGGCTTGAATTCATCGGGCTCTGGATAGATGTCAGGATCGTGGTGTATGGCATGTGTGGGTATGATGAGGAACAGCTCCTTGACCAGTATATAGTTGGGATGATCGGGCACTTGGTAGTCGGTGAGGGTGCGGCGGAGTATGTACGGCGTGATGGGATGCATCCGGAGCGTCTCGTTGATGACCTGGCCCAGGTATGCCAACGATTGGACGCACTCATAGTTCAGATTGTTGTCATGCCGCTCCATGGCCTTCTTGATCTCTTCCCGCACCCTGGCCTGCACGTCTGTGTGGAGTGCCAGCTCGTAGAGGATGTAGGACAAGGTGTTGGCTGTTTGCTCGTAGCCAGCCTTCAGGAAAACGACAGCATGGGCAGCCAGTTCGTTCTGCAGATGCGTCTTCAGCTCCTTGTCCGCCTCGTACTGATGGGTGATTTGCTCCAGGGCCTTGATCTCCACCAGCAGCTGCAGGTAATCCTGATGGCGAACGCCGGAAGCCTCGCGTTGGTCCACAATGTCCGAGAGTAAAGTGAGGAAGTACGTCTCCGCCTGCTTGGGTGTACGGCGCATGCGCAGAAGGCGACAGAAGTTCGGGAAGCGGATCATCATCAGATTCATCAAATAGCCATGCTTGTGGCTACTCACGGCCATCTCTGTCATTTTTTCAAAGTCCTCCAGGGGATACTTTAGCCGTTGCTCGGCATCCAGGCCAAAGACGCACCTGGCCAGGGCCGAGAGAACATATTGTCGCATAAGTTTCTGTATGTGGAGCGTGGAATGCGGTTGCTTCATTAGCGTAGAGCTGACGGTAAGCAGCAGATGTGCCGCTTCCTCGTACAGACCGCCATACAGCCAGGCCATGCGATCGCTCTCCAGGCTGGGGTCCAGCTTCTGGCGCATCTCCTTCCAACTCTGGCCGCGCATGGCGTACAGATCACCCGAAAGCGGATCCGTTTTCTGATTGCAGTACATTCCGCGATCGTTGAAGTTCCAGAAGTCCTTGATCATTATCTGCCTGATCAGTTCGCGGTCGAGGATCAGAGCCCGCGGCTGTAGTAGTGCGTAGAAGCCGCAAAACGGTCCGCCGCCCTTGAACTTGGCATAGAGTGCCGAGTAATGAGCCGTCTTCATCGCCTCGGTACTGAGAGTCTGTGTCACTATTTGCCTAACGATGGGCCATAGCTTTTTCGGCCTTTCGTGGGGAATGTTCAGATAGCGCCAATAGTCACGCTGATAACGCGCTGCCATAATAAGCAGAATCAGTAGGCCCAGCACCACCAGCCCAATAATCAGAAATATTATCCACATATTCTGCATAATGAGCGTTTCTCTACTACAAATCACATGTAGATATAATTATATGGAAATCCCTTGTGCTTCTGGGACTCTACTTCCTTCCTTTCCAAACACACACACATACACACACACACACACACACACACTATGTCTCTCCCACTCGCGCACTGACACTCTATTTGTTTCCGTCTCTCTTCCAGCCACCGCAGTCGTAGTGTCACCGACTATGATCTAATGCATTCCCCGGAGCGTTCTTACGTTCATTACCGGATCGCGATTTTCGACTGAGTGCGTTGGAGAAAAGTAACTATTTACGATACTCGCTCGCTCTCGAGACCGACCGACCGACCGACCTGGTGGGAGCTTTTAATTTGTTGCTTTTTTTGAAGTGTGCGCTACACTGAAGCTTATGGACTTCCACAGGCGGTACGTGGGCGTTGGAGTGAGGCCAGTCAGACAGACAGACAGATGGATGGATGGAGGGGATACTCGTATTATTTCTTCATTTTAAATGTTGGTGGCGCAATGAGATATTCTCGTTTACCATCTGGCACAGAGTATGGACCAGCCATTTATGGACAGTTATTTGATAAGCAAACAATTATTTACAAACTATCTTTGAATCTAAAGAAAAAGAAAAACTAATTTACTAGAGTTAAGAGCGCCAACCTTCATTGTAGGGCGTTTTAGTGTTCACCTTGGTAGTTCCCCCAATTTGTTATCATTCAGAACCTACTTTAAAGTTCATTTTGGTTTGTTATCAGCTGGCGAGTGTATTTTAATAAACATTTTTTGTACCTGGCTTTTACACTGGGCCAAAAAAATGTGTACCATTTAATCGAAAATAGTACAAATTTGCATGTGAGAACTAATGATATTCTGGTGCTTTGCATTCCTCCTACTCGGCGAATGTTACGCTCAATTAGCGATTAAATGGCATAACAAAAAAATAAAATATTAACAAAGGAAAAGCTCATCCACAAAGCCGAAAACAAACGAAACACAAACAAAAAATAAGCACAAAAAGCTGACAGGTTTAATGGTATTTGTTGTTGCGGCCCATATCCGCACTTGAAATCTAATCAATTGTCAAACAAAAATGAGACTAAAACCAAAGCTATCTCGTAACCAGGGTTGTTGCCAATTTTATGTACTGAGTCCACAACTGAATATCATGTCCCATAGATGGACACACCAGAACTAGTAATGATGAAGTTGCAGGAACTGATTCGGATATGACGCTGTATTCAAGAGGGTTTGCCTGGAACATCTGATAAAGAGAGGGCTCGTCATGGTACAGTATAGCTTGCCTACAAATGTATTGAATGTAGCATCACTTCAGCTTGCATTATAATTACTCCAGAGGAACCCTCGTAATGGAAAAAGCGATGTAAATATAATTGAAAATAAATTCAAATTTCCATATTTGAAATAACTATTTTCATTTGCCTTGCATTTGCTTTGCCTACTGTACCCATAAAGTGCTGCATAAGAGGTGCTTGCAAAAAAAATTGCTGCTACTGAATGTACAGATTAAGAATTGAGAATTGAGATTAAGAATCAGGCCTCCGGCAGTTGTCATGCTGATCGTATTTTTTTTCGCATTGACATTCTTCAAGCGTCGGGGGATTTTCTAGGCAATATGCAGTAAGTCTTCAGATAGAAAGTTCTCTTTGTAGGATTGTACTTCTTCCAAAAGTTGGCAGCTTTCATTTTGGATCTGGAGCTGGTCAAACACATTTTGATTAAGCGAAAAGGGTTTGTACTACAACGAAGAAGATGATTCCATGTCCGCAATTTATCCTCCACATTCACTGCTGGAAAAATGAATAAGTTTTTTACTTTCTGTGGACAGTATGCAGCTAAAAAGTGGAGGCACTATGACTATGTCACCATCTTAAACTTAATTAATATATGAACATATCTGTATGCAAATCAATGAAACGGTTGCAAAGCATATAACAAAAAAAATTGATTTTATTACGCTAATAACTTGCTACTCTCACAGTTCTGTTGTGGTAGGCTGGATTGATAGACTTTGATATGCATAAAAAAGTTCAACTATTTTTCATATAAATGTACACATTTACATAGATGTGTCATACGCAATTAGCACTGATTGCCGGGCACTAAAGATTACACATATCAAAGCCAACATTTATGTGCTATCATTATCCTTCTAGTAATAAATCTTAAGCAAGCAGTCGGAGACTTTGTCTCCAATGACGCTTGTGGATTTTTATCAGAGCTTATGAGAAGCGGTTATAAAGTGGTTCAAATTTCAATTGTATTTAACATACAATGTACATACATGTTAGGAAGAAAGAACACAAAAAATACAACTTAACTAATTCTGAAACCAGTCCTGGTTAGCTACCACACATGAGAAGCGTGGAGACGGGAGCTGTTAAAGAGTTGCTATAATTTCCATTTACAAACAAAAATGTTACATTTTTAATGTTAAGTACATATTAACGTAACATGACTATTTATACCCGGTACTCGAAGAGTAAGTAGGTTATATTGTATTTTTGTTAGAAAAACACATATTCTTTCTGTGTGTTTCCGATCCCATAAAGTATATATATTCTGGATCAGCATCAATCTGTCTGTTCATCCGTACGTCCGTCTTGTTTGACGCCTCGTTCTCAGAAGACTCATGTGATATCACACTGAATCAAGTTTGCTTCAAAAATTAGTGACGCGAACGAATCTTCGCACACGTTTCCACTCGTTTTTATATGAAGAAAATACAATTATCTATGAAGCGAACTAACGGAAAGATTCGAGCAAGAACAGCGTGAAGTTAGATAAGAGGAGGATGGGCGGTATATTACAGATTGTGTCTCACTACGTTTACTGTCTATAGATAATATAATTATAGCACTTAGAACAATTACGATTAATGGATTACGACAGATTTAAAAGAATAAAATAAATATAATAGCATTTATTGTTGAAAAATCGTTGTAAATTAAAATGTAAGTCTCTGATATTATAACTTTCGATTTCTTTCTTGCTACTTTCCCTATCTTACCCATCAGTAAGTAGGAGCCACACATTTGCTTGCAGCCACAAAGGTCTGCTTCAGCATCAATGGTAAACAATACATTGAGATTAAGAATCACGCTCACCGGCAGCAGTTCCAAACTTATAACTGACTCAATCTCGTTGCCTCGAGATGTTGCCTCGTCATGCTGAGCGTTTTCATTTTCTCAGTATTTAAAGGCAGAACATTAGGCGTTCCGACATCAGTCCGGTCAGAAGCTCAACGTATCCAACATGGGTGTGACTTATATACTCTTCCAGATAGCAGTCGCTCTGCTGGCGATCGTGACCTACTATGTCTACCGCCGATTGTCGTTCTTTAAGCGTCGGGGGATCCCGCACGATCCGCCACATTTGCTTCAAGGCAATGTACAGGGCCTATTTACTAAACGGAATATGCACGAGATATTAAGGGATTACTACAACAAATATCGCGAGAGCAAGGTACCCTTCGTTGGGTTCTACTTCTTCCAAAAGCCGGCGGCTTTCATTTTGGATCTGGAACTGATCAAACACATTCTGATCAAGGATTTCTCAAACTTTAGCGACAAGGGGCTCTTCTACAACGAGAAAGATGATCCCATCTCAGCGCATCTCTTCAGTCTGGATGGACCGCAGTGGCGTATCCTGCGGAACAAATTATCCTCGACATTCACTGCTGGTAAAATGAAGTTCATGTATCCCACGGTAGTGTCCGTGGCCGACGACCTCATCACAGTCATGCATGAGAAGGTGAAACAAAATTCTAGTCTGGAAATTCGCGATCTCGTGTCTCGATTCACTGTGGACGTGATCGGAACTTGTGCTTTTGGCATTAAGTGCAACAGTCTGCGGGATGAAAACGCCGAGTTTCTGACGATTGGGAAGCGTGTATTTGTGGACAAACGTCATGGGTCCTTACTGCTCGGCTTCATGCAGAGTTATCCGAAGCTGGCGAGGCGTCTGCGTATGGTACGAACGCCTCCTCATATTCAAGAGTTTTACAAGCGCATTGTTTATGAGACTGTGGCGGTGCGGGAGAAGGAAAACATCAAGCGGAATGATTTCATGGATTTGCTCATTGAGATGAAGAATCAAAAGATTCAACTGGAAAATGGTGAAGTGGTGGATGGCTTGAGCATCGAAGAGATTCTGGCCCAGGCTTTTGTATTCTTCATTGCTGGATTCGAGACTTCCTCCTCCACCATGGGATATGCTCTGTATGAGCTGGCCAGGAATCCGCACGTACAAGACAAAGTTAGGACTGAACTGGAGGAAGTGATGGAGAAGCACGACCAGAAATTCACCTACGAGTCCACCAAGGATCTCAAGTATCTTAACCAGGTCATCTTCGGTTAGTAAATTACGCGAAATCGCAGTCAAAGCAGTCTGTAATTCTTCAATTTGTTTTCAGAAACGCTACGGCTCTATACCATTGTACCGCATCTGGAACGAATGGCCAAAAAGCGATTTGTTGTTCCTGACCATCCAAACTTCGTCATTGAAGCTGGACAATCGGTCATCATTCCATCATCGGCTATACACTTTGATCCCAACTATTATTCGGAGCCGTACGAGTTCCAGCCCGAGCGTTTCTCCCCCGAGGAAGCGGCCAAACGACCCTCTGTGGCCTGGCTTCCATTTGGCGATGGTCCCCGCAACTGCATTGGACTCCGCTTTGGCAAAATGCAGGCGCTCATCGGCTTAGCTTTGCTTATAAGAAATTTTCGATTCTCCACATGCCCGGAAACTGCGGACCCCTTGGTGTACAATCCCAGAAGTTTTGTACTTGGTGTGGATGGCATACAGCTCAAAGTGGAGGCAGTGTGACACTGAAGCAACATCTTCATCATCATTTATATACACTAAATAGAGTATTAGCCATTCAAACGATGCCAAAGTACATCACAAAGTGATCATATTTTCGTGAGTAATTCTCAGAGAGCATTTGTTGGGGCAGGTTGAATTGTTTGACCATAGGGCGATCGTTCGTGAATCAGTCGTGTTCTAGAACAGAGCACCATCTCACCACTATCTACACAACATGCTCGTGTCTACACATACAAATATGTATTTATAAGCATTAGTTCTCCGTAATTCTTCGGCAGTAGCATTCGGATCCATTGGTCACAATGACAGTTGAGTTTTGCGTGGGGCATATAAAGCAGTCGGAGAGCATTTTGGTGCTCAGTGAGTTCCCGAGAACGAACAGGTTCGCACACTTGACTGCCACAAACGGGAACAAATAAACAAGCATAAATACGTAGTTATATACTTAAGTGGTATATATTATCGCTATGGTTGTGGGCGTGAGTACACTGCTGCTGGCAGTGCTGGTGGCGATTGTTGGATATCTGCTACTGCTATGGCATCGCACCAGGAACTACTGGCAGAATCTGGGCATACCGTGTGAGGAGCCGCACTTGCTGATGGGCAGCATGGGGGGATTGCGCACCAAGCGATCGTTCAACGATGTCTGGATACATTACTACAAGAAGTTCCGGCTGAGTGGACCCTTTGCCGGTTTCTATTGGTTCCAGCGGCCTGCTGTGTTCGTACTGGAGCCCTCACTGGCCAAGCTCATTTTGATCAAAGATTTCAACAAGTTCACGGATCGCGGATTCTTCCACAATCCCGAGGATGATCCACTGTCGGGGCAGCTGTTTCTGCTGGATGGACACAAGTGGCGATCGATGAGGAACAAGCTGTCGTCCACCTTCACGTCGGGTAAAATGAAGTACATGTGTCCCACCGTGGTCAGGGTGAGTCATGAGTTCACCGATGTGTTTGGCCAGATGGTAGACAAGTCGCCCATCGTTGAAGTCAAAGAACTGTTGGCCAGATACACCACAGACGTGATTGGCACCTGTGCCTTTGGCATCGACTGCAGCAGTCTCAAGGATCCCGAGGCCGAGTTCCGTCTGATGGGTCGTCGAGCTCTGACAGAGCACCGACATGGAGCCTTTGGCATCGGCTTCCTGAACAGCTTTCCACATCTGTCCCGCAAGCTACACATGAAGATGACAGCAGAGCCCATTGAGCAGTTTTTCATGCGCATCGTCAAGGAGACGGTGAAGTTCAGGGAACAGAACCAGATACGACGCAACGACTTTATGGATCAGTTGATCGATCTGAAAAACAAACAAATAATTAAGTCCGAGGCGGGTGACAACATCAACCTCACCATTGAGGAGATTGCCGCCCAGGCTTTTGTGTTCTTTGCCGCTGGATTTGAGACCTCCTCGACCACGATGGGCTTTGCTCTGTACGAGCTGGCTCAGCACCCGGAAATTCAGCAGCGGGCGAGGGAGGAGTGCCAGGAGGTTATACAGAGGTGTAATGGTGAATTGACCTACGAGAGCATGAAGGATCTGGTCTACCTCGATCAGGTGATATCTGGTGAGTGACACAGAGCAACATTTTCAAAGTTACGTTCCACTTACCCATTTCTCTTCGCTAGAAACCCTTCGCTTGTACACCGTACTGCCCGTTTTGAATCGCGAATGCCTGGAGGACTATGTGGTGCCAGATAATCCAAAGTATGTGATCAAGAAGGGTATGCCCATTCTGATACCAGCCGGACCCATGCATCGCGATGAGAGGTTCTACCCCAACCCTAATGTCTTCAACCCGGACAACTTTTCGGCGGAACGCGTCAAGAGCCGCGACTCGGTGGAGTGGCTGCCCTTTGGCGATGGTCCCCGCAACTGTATCGGAATGCGTTTTGGCCAGATGCAAGCCCGCATTGGCATGGCCATGCTGCTCAAGGATTTCAAGTTCTCCGTGTGCGACGAGACGACTATTCCTATGACCTACAACATGGAAAGCTTTTTGATAGCCAGTGCAACTGGCATTTTACTGAGAGTGGAACGTGTATAATAAATATATATACATATGTAACATATACTCGTGTATTCCGCATCCATCAAATTTTAGCTCAGGTTACCTCCAAAGCTACTATTAATCTATATAAAATTGTTTGGAATTACATCATGATTGATCAACCGTACAAGCTCTGATGTTAAATGGTGTACGGGAAGCTAGAATTTCTATATATATAAAGTTCAACTATTTGTTTGCTTTTAAATGAGTCTTGTAAAGTGGCTTGTAGCCGATAATAATAAAATGGTAATCAAACATTATCTCTTATCTTTTACGCCTAGAAAAAGTATGAAAAAATGTCTGGAACTTAAAATAATACATATATTTAGCAGTTACCTTATCGCGTATTGGTATTATGATAATAATTTTAATCTAAAAAGCTCGAGCAAATGTCTGAAAAAAGGTTTCCTTTTTTACGTAGTGCTTTTTGTTGTACGAGTAACTGCGATTATCTACAAATGTGTAAGTGACGGTCCACATATACTTACAGGTTTGAAACAGGTTTTAGACTCTCTCTGTAAACAGTTCTGTTTGCAGTTAATCCAAACACAGTTCTCTGTTGTCTACGATGCGAAAATTGGTGTGGGAAGTCTGATCTTAGTTAATTCATTTGTTACGAAACAGAACAGAAGCCACTGCCTTTATTGGTTTTCAAGCTGTGCGAAATTCCCTCTAGGTCATAATACTCACCCTGAGACTGTTGTGATTGTTATTTTTTATGTACCGTGTGCCAATGCGCCATTTATTTCATTCATGTTCAAATATTGAGACCAAAATGACATTTTTAAATGTCATGATGAATCTTGCTCACATTCAGATGGACTCCCCCCTCGGCACTTAACAGAATATCGCCGACCCTGAACTTGAGCGGCACCGTAGTCTTTGTGGGGTGGACCTCAAACTTGAAATTGTGTATGAGTAGGGCCAGGCCTACCACGATCTGCATGCGGCCAAAGCGCAAGCCAATGCAGTTTCGCGGACCATCGCCGAAGGGCAGGAAGGTGCAGGGCGGTCGCTGCTGCACTTGATCCTCATCGAAACGCTCGGGAATGAACTTCTCTGGCTCCGGGTAGAACTCGGGATCATGATGGATGCCCCAGGTGGGGATGACAACGCCAGTGCCGGGCTCAATGAAATACTTTGCATTGGAATGCTCGCACCGCTGTGTGCAGATGCGAATCAAATGGGCGACAACTGGATTCTTTCGTAATGTTTCTGGGGATGGAAGTCGGAAAATTAATTAAAACTAATCTAAATGATCGCTAAAAATAGACTGCCTCACCATCGATAACCCTATCCAGATATGTAAGCTCGCGCATGCTGTCATAGCTCAATTTTCCATTGTGTTTCGCCATCACAGCGTCAATCTCCTTCCTCAGCTTATCCTGAATGTCCTGATGCACGGACAGTTCGTGGAGGGCAAAGCCCATCGTAGTCGAAGAGGTTTCAAAGCCAGCCACGAAGAAGACAAAGGCCTGGGCAGCCAGCTCGTTGAATGTGATACCATCCTTCGTGTTGCCTCCATCGTATTGTTTCTTCATGTCGATCAGCATGTCCATGAAATCGTTTCGTTTGACATTATTCTTTATACGATAGTCGACAGTTTCAGCAATGATTTTCATATAGAAATCCTCGACCTTTTGTACAGTGGCCTTCATGCGCAACTTGGCCGCCAGCTTGGGTGCCCCGAAGATGAACAAGTCGACAGTTTTGCCGTGGCGCCGCTCCTTGAATGCAGTCGAGCCCATGGTGACAAATTCAGCATCGGGATTCCGCAAACTGTTGCACTCCAGACCGAAGGCACAGCTTCCAATCACATCGGCGGTGAAGCGGGACACAAAATCGGCGACATTCAGCAGCTGTGGACCTCCTTGGGCTTTCTCGGCGAACACCCGAACCAGCTCATCGCCAACTTCCAGCACTGTGGGGAACATATTCTTCATCTTGCCCGAGGTGAATGTGGGTGTCATCTTTTGGCGGAGCTGTCGCCACTTTTGCCCCTCGATTGCAACCAGATGATTGGTCAAGGGATCATCCTGTTCATTATAGAATATGCCGCGATCGTGAAACTTGTCAAACTCGCGGATCAGCACTGTTTTCACGAAGTCGATGTCAGTGACAATTGCAATTTTCTTCAGATATAAGTAAAATCCAACAAAGGGTCCATCGGTCTTGTTCTTGTACTTGCGGTAGGTTTCCCCGAACAGGTCCGACATATGCCGTGTCTTCATGAGCTCGGCAGTATTACCGAAAGGAATACGGGGTGCATCATGGGGAATGCCGCGACGTTTCCAGTATGAAAAGTTCTGATGTACCCACCATACGGCGAGTGTTACAACACCGACCAGCAATACGATTACAATGGCCATAGCGATATAGCGAATACTGCACGAGCCCGTAACGTGGAAGGCATTTTATAGCCGCAGCTCTCTTTGCTCGGAGCTCTGACTTCTATCCAATACAGTGTCTGTAATCAAATAAAACACATTAAGTGGCAGTCACCGTTGGAAGACAAATATTTCGAGCCATGATGAAATTAGTAATAGGTGACGTCGTCGGCTGGCTGGAGGACCTTCAGCTTATTCACCACGATTGCTCGGCTCTCAGAGAAGCAAGCGCTAGAGAGAGATAGCAAACGTTTATTTGTAATTATACCATGAGCTGGTGGGCCTCGGATGAGAAAGCACTGTAGTGAATCCGTCACCTATTACTAATTTAACCATGGTTCGAGCTTTGCAAAAGCTTTCTTAATGATAACAAAAGCTCTCTTTCTCTTTCACTTGTGCGGCATAAAATGAGCGCTGGAATATGTACACTGCACAAATGAATTCGCGAAAACAGGTTTCAAGTGAAGGCAACCAAAGATCACAATTTGTGATCAATACCGACCTGGCTATAGCCGGCTTTATAGCTCAAAACAATGTTAAAACGAAACCTGATAGTGCCGATCAGACCAAAGTCTCCAATATAATCATATTTTCTGTAAAGTTGACTCAATACTAAGGCGCGTGTTAGTATTTTAATGATATTTAAGAGTGCTAAGTTCTAGCCATAACATTACACCAAATTTAATCAAAAATATTAACAGCAAAATATTGTATTTGCTTTATTTGGAAACCTTTGCGACCTTAAGATGGATTCCATTTTCGGCCGACAGTAAAATGCTCTTGAGCACCATCTTCATGGGTATTTGTGTCTCCGAAGCGACACTGAAATTGTAACCCTTGATAAGGTAGGCCAGGCCCACACAGGTTTGCATAATGCCAAACCGCAGGCCGATGCAGTTGCGTGGACCCTCGCCAAAGGGCAGCCAGGTGCAGGCGGGTCTGGCGGCGATTGCCTCCTCCGTGAAGCGCTGCGGCTGGAATTTCTCTGGCTCGGGATAAATTTCAGGATCGTAGTGAATACCCAATGCTGGGATGATGACAGTCGTTCCCTTGGCAATGAAATATTTGGGATCTTCAGGGGAGAAATCCGTATCCGTCTTACGCGTTAGATGCGCCAGCACCGGGTACTTGCGAAGAGTTTCTGAAATATAAATAAGAAAGTGTTGCAGTTACAGACACAAACTTTAAATCCTCATAGAGCACGCGTACCCATTACAACCTGCTCCAGGTATTTCATTTCCTTGACGCCCTCGTAGGTGAACTCATTGTTGTGATTGGCCAGAACATCGTTGATCTCATTTCGCAGTATATTCTGAGTATCCTGGTTCTGGGCCAGCTCATAGAGAGCAAATCCCATGGTGGTGGAGCTCGTCTCAAAGCCGGCCACAAAGAATATGAATGCCTGGGCCAGAAGCTCGTTGAAGGTCAGACCCTCATCCGAGTTGCCCTCCTGCTCCTTCTGGTACATTTCAATCAGACTGTCCATGAAGTCATTGCGCTTTTCCTTGGTCCTCAAGCGATGGTCGATGGTGTCTCGCACAATTTTGGTGTAGAAGTCCTCCACTTCCTGCACATTGAACTTGAGGCGCAGGGAACGCGATAGTTTCGGAAAACCGAATATAAAGAAATCCAATAGACCCCAATAGCGATGATCGGTGATGGCTCGCTTGCCGAATGTAACAAAATCCGCTTGCGGATTCTGTTGACTGTTACAGTTCAGACCAAAGGCGCAATTGCCTATGACATCAGCGGTGTAGCGAGCCACCAGATCAACAATTTCCAGAACGTTTCCAGTACCTCCAACTCTGTCGCTAAAGATCTTGTCCATCTCCTCACCCACTTTGACGACAATGGGGAACATGTGCTTCATTTTGCCCGATGTAAATGTGGGCGTCAGCTTGTGCCTCAGATGACGCCACTTCTGGCCTTCAATGCTGAACACCGTCGCCGAGAGGGGATCGTCAATCTCATTGTAGAATATGCCCCGGTTCTCGAAATGATTAAAGTCTTTGATGAGCACACGCTTCACCAGATCAATGTCTGTGACCACAGCGGTTCTGGTGAAGAAGAAGTAGAACCCAGCAAACGGGTATTTGGCACTCTTGTACTTTCGATAGTAGTCCTTGAAGATCACTGCAATGTGCCGCTTCTTTGGCCAATCCTTCATGTTTCCGAATAGTGGGTGGGGCACATCGTGCGGGATACCTCGACGCTGCCAGTAGCCATGGCGACGTCGAGCCGCAAACAGAATCAGCGACACCACAATAGCAATTAGAGCCACAACCAACGACATTTTACTTTCTGTTTGACACTGGTCGCCGTTTGCTGTGTCTACTGGGTTATATGGGTAAAAGCTCGCCCGCTCTGTCTCTCTCTCTCTCTCTCTGTTCTCTGTCTCCAGCATGAAGCAACTATACAAGGAGGTCTCGTCGTCGTCATTTCCCTTTGATTTTAGTTCTTCAGGCGCACACTCCATTGTCGTTTCGCTCACACTTACAGCGAGAGCCCTTTCACTCGCACTTATTGACAGCTTTGTTACGTTTCCCTCTTTTTCAGACGAGACCTCCTAGTATAGTTGCTTTATGGCCTCCAGTAAGCTTTTGATACCCTACTGAAATGCGCCTCTCTCTAGTGGAAATTGTACGCCCTAGTGATAGGGTATCTTGACTTTGATTTGATTTCTGCAACGCATGGTGGAATAGCTAAAAGCGCATACAATTATTCTAGCCGACAGAGTGCACTCCAAAGTGAGTTTTAAAAAATGGAGTGGTACTAAACCAAAGTTCTTTACTATTTTTTGGTAAAAACACAAGTTAGATTGATTGAGGAGGTGGCTTTAGACCGTGACAAACGTGAAGATAAATAAAACTTTCCACTAATTAAGACAGTGAAAAATAAATGCACAAAAATAGGTTAATTCACTTAATGATCAGGAATTTAAATACGCTTGTGAAATAACAGCATTGAAATTTGCCTGGTAACGATTATATTCGTTATACCTGAACTGATAAACGTATTGATAGTGCTGACACCTAATACACGAATTAATCAATATGCGTTTTAATCTAGCCCAACAAAATGTAACAGCAAGATATAGAATTTGTTTGAGGCTCGATTCGGTATGATAAAAAACATTATATGTATGTATGCTAGTAATATCAGTTTGAAATTCGCTGGTGAACACAATTATTTGGGGTATCTCTTACGCAGTCCATGAGTATGGCTATCATTTGCGGCTGCTTATCTCTTGCACCTTCAAGTAGATGCCGTTCGCTGGGCATAGCAGTATATTCGATTTGACAAATTCAATTTTGGGTGCCGTGCGTGGACAAACACTGAAGTGGAACCGTCTGAGTAGCTGAACCAGGGCAATGCTCGTTTGCATCTTGCCGAAACGCATTCCGATGCAGTTGCGTGGCCCATCGCCAAAGGGCAGCCAGGCGGCGGTGGGTCGCTGGGCCAGCTGATCGACCATGAATCGCTCGGGTTTGAATTTGTGTGGCTCAGGGTAGATGGTGGGATCGTGGTGAATGCCATACACAGGTATTAAAAGCATCTGTCCGGGCTCTATGTAGAAGTGCCTGTGGCCTTTTGCGGCATACCAGTTCTTGGAGATGCGCGTGAGATGTGGCAGTGGTGGATATTTTCTCAGTGTTTCTGCGGGTGGTAGAATGATCATAATTCTAGTTTGACAGATGAACATCTCCAGTACATTACCTGCAATGACCAGCTCCATGTAGCGCAGCTCTTGCATGGAGTCGTAAGTAAATTGTCCCTCACGCAGTTGCAGGGCAGCATCGATTTCTTGCCTCAACTTGTCCTGCAGGTGTGGCTGCCGGGCCAACTCGTACAGTGCGAATCCCAAGGTCGAGGCTGAGGTGTCGAAGCCGGCCGCAAAGAAGATGAAAGCTTGGGCAGCCATCTCCTCCAGGGTGAGCTCGCCGCTCCGTTTCATTTCGATGAGGAGATTCATGAAATCGTTCCTCACAATTCCCTGCTCCTCTCTCAGCTTCACAGTCTCCTTCACAATGCGTACATAGAATTCAGTGATGTCCGGATGTATCTGACACAGGCGCAGACGACGTGCCAGGTCTGGGAAGCTCTCGATGAAGCCATCGATCAGCTTGTTGTGGCGACGTTCGGTGAATGCCCGGCGCCCCATCACGGCAAACTCGGCCTCGGGATTTCGCAATCCGTTGCACTCCAGGCCGAACACACAGCGGCCAATCACATCGGAGGTGTATCTCGCCATAATATCACTGATCTCCAGGATGCCGCACATGGCATTCGATGCCAGTTCGCCGCAGACCTCAGCCAAGTCCACGCCCACCTCGCACACGGTGGGGAACATGAACTTCATCTTGCCCGACGTGAACGTGGGTGACATCTTGTGGCGCAGTGGCCGCCACTTGGGTCCATCGATGCGAAAGAGGTGCCCGGTCAGAGGATCGTCCCGCTCGTTGTGATACATGCCACGATCCTCAAAGTTCGCAAAGTCCCTGATCAACACCTCCTTGGCCAGTTCTAAATCCAGAACCAAAACCACGGGTCGAAGCATCATGTAGATGCCGGCAAATGGTGCTCCGCTGCCCTTGAACAGTTCGTACAGCGGTGTCACAATATCCTTAAAGTGCTTTGTCCTGCGCAGTCCATCCATGTTGCCCATGGGAAAGCTGGGCCTCACATGTCCGATCCCACGCCTCGCCCAGTAGCTCAGCCTCGTGCGCACATACCAGAAGCCAATGGCCAGGGTAATCAACAGCGTTGCAATCACATCCAGCATTCTCCACAGAGTTTCACTTTCAACTGCACTCAAAAGCTGCCTCCACGCAGTGATTAGAGCAGCAGCAACAGCTACCGGGGGAGCAAAGTCGGCGGCAACGTAAACAAGCAAAACAGAGAGCAGATAACCTCGCGCACAATTTGCACTCGAAATGGAAACTCTGGCAAAGCGGAGAGCTTTGAGCGATGCTAAGGCGAATGTGATGAGAGAGAAGCGACAAGAGACTCACAAAAAAGAAACGGCATTGAAATGTGTATTTGTATATGTGTGTGTGCCTATCGTTGATCTTGAAAAATAAAAAGTTAAGAGGAGGGTGGAAAAATTGTTTACGTGCGCTGACAGGCTGGAGAAAAGAGAGAGACGAGATGTGCCGCCCACTCTTTTTCAGCTACTGTATGAGAGCTGGCAGGGAATCGCAAATTAAATTATGTACAACAGCTAGCTGGTCGAATAATGTGCATTTCTATATTCACCCACATGAAGAGACTCCTAATAAACTCGTAAGAGTGTTACGCCAAAGAATAAGCAAATATTCTTTACTTGTATTTACTCTTTGCAGTGCTCTCTTACACGGTTTACTCTTAATATGTGGAATGGAATGTATTAATTACACCAAAAAATGAGCAAATATTCTTTATTTTGATTTACTCTTTGCAATGCTCTCTTACAGGTGTTTTCTCTTAATATTATTCTATGACCAATGCAATGAATTAATACCATAAGTTTCACATACAGCCACTGTTTAGGTAATTTCTGTTTCAAGTTCAGTTCGTTTGTACATATTTCTCTCTTTGTGTGTGAAGCTCTTTATCAATCGATTACCGGGTCTTAAATACATAGATATGTAATCATCTGGATTTTGGCACTCGTTATCAGTTTTTAGGGTGCGGCCAGTTTTTCCATTTTAAGGTGTATGCCTGCTTGGGTTCCTATAATAAAGGTTCGACTGGAGAACTTCAATGGGATTTGGGTGCGTTCGGTTTGGCTGAATTTGAAATCGCGTAGAATGTAGGAAATGCCAATTTTCACCTGCATTTTACCGAAGCGCTCCCCAATGCAGTTGCGTGGACCTTCGCCAAAGGGCAAGTAGGCCATCGGATGACGGGCCCTTACCTGATCCGGCTCGAAGCGACTTGGATCAAAGCTCTCCGGCTGTGGATACAGCTCTGGGTCGTGCTGTATGCTATGCACGGGGATAATCACTCTCGTGCCCGGCTCCAATGTGAGTTTGCTGTCCGGTACACGATATTCCTTGGTAGTTTTGCGCCCAATATGCGGCAGTATGGGATACTTCCGTAGCGTCTCTGCGATCACTTGATCTAGGTACTGCATCTCCTGAATGGACTCATAGGTCAGCCGGTCATTGTTGCGACCCAGTACCTCGAGGATTTCACTGCGCAACCTTTCCTGAATATCGGGATTCAGCGCCAATTCATACAGGCAGAATGACATCGTTGTCGAGGAGGTGTCAAAGCCGGCCAGGAAGAACACCATGGCCTGAGCGGCAATCTGTTCGAAGGAGAGCCCATCCTTGGTGCCCTCTTCCCGCAGTTCTATTAGCAGTTGCAGCAAATCATTGCGCTGCACATTCTCGCGCTTCCTGTAATCCAGTGTCTGGCGTACTGTGTCCAGGAAGAACTCGCTCACCTCGGGCCGGAAGAGTCGCATGTGTAGCATCCGCGCCAGGTTGGGCAGGCCAAACATGAAGGCCAGCGCCATGCCCGAGTGGAGAGGATTGGTTGTCACGGAGCGACCCATGCGACGGAATTCAGAATTGGGATCCTTAAGGCTGTTGCACTCCAGGCCAAAGGCACAGCTGCCAATGACATCTGTACTGAAGCGGGCACACAAGTCCTTGGCCTCTATCTCACCGACTTGCAACTCGCACGCCTGCGTCAGCTTCTCCCCCACGCTCAGCATGGTGGGGAACATAAACTTCATCTTGCCGGAGGTGAAGACCTGAGTCAGGTTCTGCCTCAGCCAGCGCCACTCAGGCCCGTCCAGAAACAGCAGGTTTCCGGTCAGCGGATCGTCCTTGACATTGTGAAAGAGTCCACGGTCCGCAAAGCTGCTGAAATCACTTATCATTATTTTCCTAATCAGCTCCAGGTCCATCACAAAAAGCGCTTTGTTCAGGAAGGTGAAGTAGCCACAGAAGCGTTCTGTTGCTCGAAACTGCTGATAAATGCGCCAATTGATGTCCGTCCAGTGTAGCTTCTTGCCAAAGCCTTGCATGTTGCCCAGGAAGAGGACAGGTTTCTCCCCTGCCACGCCCTTGCGACGCCAGTAGTCATAGTGCCGACGCAGTCGGGCATAAATCAACGCGCCAGCAACAAAAAGGAGAGCCAACAGAGTCCACATGCTGCCGTCCACTCGATTGAAATGCAACTGACTCTGGAAAACAACTGACTTTGCTTGTAGAGAGGAAAGCTTTCCATAAGTTTCCTCGTTCTCTCTCTCTCTCTATCTCTCTCTGATATTATTGTATCTCTCTGATGTTCTGAATTGAGTCATGGGTAATGGGCATACCTCTGCCTACTCGGTTGCTTTCAAATACTGAGCATTTATCGCAAACGAAATGGTTTATTACAAAAAAAAATAATCCCAAAACTCAGATACGCTCCACTTTCAGGTGAATGCCATTCTTTGTGGCTAGAGGAAAACCGCGAGTGTCCAGAATCAAGAGAATTTCGGTGCGTTTAGAGACGCCAAACTGGAACCTTCGCAGCAGTGACACCAGGCCAATCTTGGCCTGAAGCTTTCCAAATCTCAAGCCTATGCAGTTACGTTGTCCGTCCCCAAAAGGCAAATAGGCCATCGGATGGCGTGCCTTCACTTGATCCGCCTCGAAGCGACTCGGATCGAACAGTTCGGGTTTCGGATAAATTTCAGGATCGTGATGAATGTTGTGCACAGGTATTAGTACGGTTGTGCCCTTGTCAATGATGATGTCCGTGTGGGGCAATTTGTAGTTCTGATTGGCCTCTCGTATCAGTTGAGGAATAATGGGATGTTTCCGCAGAGTTTCTGTACGTAAAAACTGATTAGAAGAGAATTTTTAATTGGATATTGCATTTATGCACCTGCTAAGACCTTGTCTAGATAGTGCATCTCTACTAATGCATCATATGTTATCTCGCCTCCTTCCGTAGTCTTGAGCACAGCTTCGATTTCCTCTCTCACACGCCGTTGGATATCGGGATGCAGCGCCAGTTCGTACAAACAGTAGGACATTGTGCTCGATGAAGTTTCGAAACCTGCTGTGAAGAATACGAAAGCCTGGGCAGCCATTTGCTCGAGGGTCAAGCCACTGGACAGATCAATTGCCTTTCCTTGCTTGGCGGCCTCCTCGTTCTCGGCTCGCAACTGAATCAACTCGTCGAGAAAATCGTTTCGCTTGATGTCATTCTTCAGGCGATAGTCTACGGTGTTTCTTACAGCATTCATAAAGAACTCCGACAACTCGTCGGGTAACAGTTTCATGCGTAGTTTTGCCGCCAATTTGGCATTGGTAAAGACGAAAAATTGCACCAACGGTGAGTGGCGAGGTTGCTCAAAGATCATCCTGCCCTTTGCGCGGAACTCGGCATTGGGATCGCTCAAACTGTGGCACTCCAGCCCAAAGGCACATGTGCCTATTACATCTGTCGTGAACCTGGCACAAATATCCTTGAGCTCCACATCGCCATTATCCACAGCAGCAGCACTCACGGCCTTGTCCATGGCGTCGGCCAGTCGATGGCCAACCTCAACGATCACTCCGGACATTTGCTTCATCTTTCCGGAGGTAAAAACCGGCGTCATCTTTTGCCTCATTGAACGCCACTCGTCGCCCTCCAGAGTCAGTAGGTGAGCCGTCAACGGATCATCTTTCACATTACTAAACAATCCACGATCTTGAAAGATATTGAAGTCCTTGATCAGCACTTGCTTGACCAAATCCAGATCAATGATGAGTGCAGTCCGCTTGAAGAAAGTGAACATTCCAGCCAAAGGCGCGCGTCCCTTGAACTTGTCGTAGATCCTTTGGTTAATGTCACGAAAATGGTACTTGGATCCTAATCCTTTCACATTTCCTATCAGTGGCAGAGGGCGTTCATTTGGCACTCCTTTCCGTTCCCAGTAGCTATAGGTATTGCGGTAGTAATTGTAGGCCAGAGCTAGGGCCACGCCCAGCAAAGTAAATGTGAACAGCATGGAGATTGAACTTTACTTGTTCCACTCTCAGCGAAGACTGTCCAGACTGTTTGGTTTGCTTCATACTATACGTTTCTGGAGAACATTTAAGCGAAAGCTTTTAAATCAGAAATGCCCGAAGTGGGACCAAAAGATTATACTTTTATACATGTAAACATTTTTAAATTCATGAAAGAATCTTGCAAAAGCAATGGTCAAGCCCCCCGAATACGTACACTAATCAAAATAAACGCGAAGCGAGACGTTTCTTTTTCTTCATTTGTTTCAGCTTCAGCTTTATTGATCACCTATGAGTGGTGCAAAGGTTATTGTTTGCTTGCTTAGCTCTCTCTGCTCTTCTAAAATAATTATCAAAACACACGCAGAAATGTCTGAAGCAATAAAACTAAACAAGAAAAGGCAAAACAAGTTATGCTCCCAATTCGCGGTTCAATATAAAGCACACTAATATCAAGACGTATTATTTTGTTTATTTTATGTATTGGTTTTGTTTTGATCGTCAGTTTCGTTGAAGAGCAAGCTCAAAGAGAGTGGCAGAAAGAGATAAATCTCACAAAAGCTCCCACAATAAGTCTACACCTAATGATTACACTTTGCAAAAAACATTTAGTTGAAGTATCTATGGCGCAATAGAAGCCATTTATGATAAGCTCACTGATTGTATTTTAAATATTTTATATATTTTATACATTATCCTACTAACAAATCGTTGAAAAATCTCTCAGAGGTATTCCGCTATAATTTAATACTATACATTTAAGTAATTAAACAAATTGCGTTGATCATAATGCTGTTAAGCACAGGCTTACCCCGCCAGAAAGTATATATCGAGAACAGAAAAGAGATGTTCTGGTTGCAGTAGCAGTCCTCAAGGTCGGCTTTACATGTACATATTTACATGCATTGGAAGAGCTTTTGAGCAACTTGCAAAGCACAAAATATAGGGAAATTAAAGCAGAGGTGAGCTTTAGTGGTGCATGAATGAACTAACAAGTAGAATTAATAACGGACAATTCGGTTCCTCAATCACACAAAAGTGTTAAAAAAAGTGATGCGGATGAAATCAAATTCAGCAAGTGGCACTCCTAACCGGCGATCCTCTCAGTGTCATGTGATTCTCATCAACTTCCATAAGCCCAGGTAGGGCTAGGAGTAAACTTCCCTTACCCATTCTCAATTTCTTACAACATCTTACCTGCAGATGTTCTAGGATGACTGAAAAAAACCACAAAATAAAACTTTACTGGTTTATACAGGTAAAAGCTGCTAAGCTACTTACCAATCTTGTTGTCTTTTTGCGTCTCCGTGGCATTTGGCACCACTTTGATGCGCTGAAAGCAGCCAGCAGAGTCTGGAGCCACATCTGGCAAGGGAGAACAAAAGTCCATGGGGGCCAGCTAGCGTTGGCATTTTCATCGCCTTGACGACGTCACCAACCGGGTGTCCAGCTGTTGGTCAGTTATTCAGTTGCCCATTTGGCCGTGTCCATTCCATGCTTTGCAATGTCGTTTCCGTGGTCGCTTCCCAAGGTATTCGTACACTTAGCGGCAAGCAGCTGTTTATGTTGATGGGCCTGGCTGGAAAGAAAATGCTGAGGGTTTTGTCCATTTTTCCACCCATTTTAGCAGCAGTGAGTGGTGGAAGAACTTGGCGGCATTGCAATTTGCTCTTCGCATTGCATACTTTTAGGATCAGGAATTTTTCCGCGCCCAGCACTTAAAAATATACTGAATATTTTATGAAGACCAGAGTGAGAGAGTGGGCAATATGCTGTACATGTGTTGCTGCAACAATGGGCAGTGCTGCCTTAATTAAAACAAATTTAAAACCAGTTAACGCACACTCACGCCCGCATTTGTATGTGTACACACAGGCAGCCGCTTGACAGTTGGCAGCGGACTTCCGCCTCTGGCTTGGGAGCACATCAAATATGACAGGCTGGCCGTGGTCGGTGTGGCTCCGACTCTCTGCCACTGCCACTGGCTGCAACCAAAATGTTGCCATGCAAATTTAAATGTCAACAAAAACTTGCAGTTTAACCCAAAAACCTTATTTTGCGGTGTGTGTGTCGGCGGTGGTGTTTGTTGTCGCCATCCAGCAATATCCCAGCCAGCGTTCGGTAGCCTGCCAAGGCTGCGCAAATTTATGCAAGCTCCATTAAAGGCCAACAACGATTAGAGATGAGAGCGTGATCTAATGGAGAAATAAAACAAAAATAAAGTGAATATTAAAAGACGTAGAAAGTTAGACAAAGTTTCATTAAGTACTTATCCACTTACACTGATGGAAAAATGATTCTCTAAAAGCATTCCGCTGAATGTGATTCCAAATAAATGCAGCTGAAGTAAACGAAATTCTTAGGAGCATTAAATACACTTTACGTTTATTTGGTAAATGAAAATGATTTGCCTTAAATAGCCTATGAAAAATCGGCTTAGATTGGCAATTCAGGCCTCTCTGCACATTTACCAAATTGTGTGTCAATTTTGCAATCACTTTACTTTCATTCATAATTTCATATTTCAGCTCATCGCCTTCTCATCTCTAGAACATACTTGGAAAATCATGGCTCGCATATGCGATATGGAGTCGTCTGTGTGCGCTGGCTTAAAATTGTGCAACAGGAAATGGATGGTTGGCTTGGCTAACCAAGCCCAGCCATGCGACCTCTTAGCACTGTCTGCTCGGAGTGCCAATGGTTGTTGGTCCTGCTCCAGTTCTACTCTGTTTTGTTTTGTTTTGTTTTGTTGCTCGTGTTCAGGTGCATCGCTCTGGCAGCTGTTTGGAGGCCATTGTTTAGGCATCGGATGTAGGCAAGTTTAGAAATCTAATGTATAATTTCGCAGCATTTTAATTACATGCAAACCGTTGAGTTCCTGGCCTGCGTCTGCTTCTGACATGTGGCCATGCAAATTCGTCGAATTATGACAGGACGTATGTTGCATGACTTTGATATTTGTGGAGTGCATTATAACGAAATATCGCTGTAGTAGTTCCCCCCTAAAACTTACGTTGCCCAACCCAAAAAAACAATCTTTCGACCCGATTGCACACGGACATCCTTGTTGCCGCCATATCCTGACTCTTTGGCCTTCGTCTTCCAACTTCCAACAGCTTCACCCGCCTAAAATAACAAGGAAATTCGAAATCGCATCTGGTGCTTTGGCAAAAGTTTCAGTGGTGAGTGGATAAGTTAAAGCCCAGGACAACTTTGCATAAACATATAGGGCTCAATCACATCGGCCATTACCAGCAGTTCGCCGGGTTTCATTCTGTTATCCCCACTCCCCTCTCCACTCTACCTCTGACTCAATTGTTCTGCCATTGTCAGCGCAGTCCCTGCTGCTCGTAGCCCACTCTACGAGCAATTTGCCTTGACAATAGTCATGCATTTTAATTGTGCAGCAGCTGCGGTTCATCTTGTTCCCCTTCCCCAGTTTGTACCCTGCGCAGGACACTCTTCCCTGCCACCCTGCCAATGCTAAACGCAGCAAATTGTGTGGCCATTAAAAAAATGGCGCATAAAATAGAAACTTTTCCAGATATTTTTATTCGGAGATGCAACACGCAGGGCAGCAGGGCAGCAAGGCGGGAGGGGCAACAATTATTTGTAAAATATTTATTTTACAATTGAATTGAAAAAGTTTCTGCGTGTGGCATTTCCCCCAAAAACTGTGCAAGAGAGGAGCAACTTTCGACCACTAATCAAATGAATGGAAATTAACCCAGCGAGGCGGACAGATGGGACAAAGGGAGGAAGGGGGACTTACTTGGAGCTGTGTGCAAAACAATTAAGCTAAAATTGTTATTGCAATTTGAAAACAATTGTCAAATTATGCAAATGCCGTCTGATTGCCTCGAGTATTTTTCCCACCCAGCCCCCGTCGGCCAAAGCTAACAAGGTGAACATGAAAGAAGGGACGGGAAAGGGAACGGGAACGGGGACTCCTTTATATCACCTTCTTCTGGGGGGTGGTGGTGGCGGCTTCTCAAAGATTTATGGTGACTGCCTGAAGTGTCTGGGGTGGCAAAAAAGTTTTGCAAGTGCGTCGGCATCTTGGCTTGGTGCTGACGTTGTCAGCTGCAAGGCGGCTGCAATTTGCATAAAAATTCATTGGCCTGGTGGCAAGTTGACAAAAAGAAAACCTTTTGGGGCCGAATAACCAAGTACTTCATGTATCTTTGGGATAACGAATATGTAACGCTCTTATGGCAAATTTATCAGAACATTTTCTTTTACATTTCAACATGCAAATGTGTACATATGTACGTGAATAATAATTTGCTTTAGCAGAAATAATTACTTAAAAATTAACATTAAAACTAGTGAACCCTCAATGAAAGGGAAGTGATCGAGAATCCGATTAAAATTGTGACTTTTAATATAAATTTCCAATTATATTCGGCCGCAGGATGTATATTAGTGTTGCTGCCAACTACACAGCGTGAAACCTAGCACTGGTCAGAAACTGTTAATGGTGGCGACCCGGTTCGGAACATGTGCTGCCAGCTTCCTCCTATTGCTACCCACTGCTGGCGCTGATGCTGCTACATTTCCGTTACATTAACAAAGCGCCTTTGTATGGTACCAGCAAGAGAACAACAATAATGGTGAAAAGCAAAGGGACAGCAACAGCAAAAATGGCGCACACGCTGCGCTTTACAAGCGAAAACTAGTTTCGGTTCAGGACCTGGACAGCGACAGCGACAAGGGTCATTATGGGGTGGAGCCGGACACACCCGGACACTCACATCCACAACCTCACCCTCAGCGCCCAGTGAGTCTGGCAATCTCCAGTGCGTGTGTATTTTTCGGTCAGTTTTGTAATTGAATCACGTTTTGTATTAAATAAACTTTTCAAATTATCGAAAAATTGACTTGCACTACTCTACAAACGCCGCACTGCCGACTCCCACCGGCTACCAGCCTAGTTTTAATTTACTTGTGTGTGCGTGTGGGGCATGCACACGTTCAAGTGCTTCCGCGATTGGTTGTGTGTGTGTGTGTGTGTGTTGCCTGCGTGTGCTTAACCATTAACATA